GAGCATGGCCCCTCCCCTAACACTATAATAACTGTCGATGATGCACTGGAGACACAGAGCATGGCCCCTCCCCTAACACTATAACTAGAGCACATTCGCATCAGTTCACCCGCTCAATCGCGAGTTACTGTCAGTACCGTTAGTTACTACAGCCTACAGTTTGCTAGCTAGCTATGCCTTCGTCACGGAAATGCATATTACCTGGTTACGATAACTTATAAAACAGCTCTGTGTCAGTGCCGATCCTAGACTTCTGGGGGACCTACACAAAACTGTGTTGGCGGGGGGTGGTGTGGGTTATGAGTGGTTATGATCGAATGAATGAAATGCATTTGTCCGTGTTTCACTCCGTCTCGAATTACGCTCGTGGAAAGCGCTTGAGAAACAGTGTCTCTTCTGCGGCTCGGTACGCTTTCCAACTCGTTTTTTTTAGTCTCGAGCAAGACTGTACGACAATCACATTACATGATTTGACTGATTTTTACGTAGAAAAGGGCGACAGCGCACCGCATTAAAATAAATGATCATTCATGTTTTTATAACCGCTGGCCAAATTCAAAAACGAAACTAAAATTAAATCATCTTTTTGTGTTTCGGGGGCCCAACGCAGCTTGCGTATTTTGAATGAATGAATGAATGAATGATGCATTTATATAGCGCTTTATTGTGTATTGCTGTACACCCAAAGCGCTTTACAATCGGGGGGGGGGGGGTCTCTCCTCAACCACCACCAGTGTGCAGCATCCACTTGGATGATGCGACGGCAGCCACAGGACAACGGTGCCAGTGCGCTCACCACACACCAGCTACAGGTGGAGAGGAGAGAGAGTCATAGAGCCAATCAAGTGGATGGGGATTATTAGGAGGCCATGATAGACAAGGGCCAGTGGCGGCAATTTGGCCAGGACACCGGGGTTACACCCCTACTCTTTTACGAGAAGTGCCATGGGATTTTTAATGACCACAGAGAGTCAGGACCTCGGTTTAACGTCTCATCCGAAGGACGGTGCTTTTTGACAGTATAGTGTCCCCGTCACTATACTGGGGCGTTAGGACCCACACAGACCACAGGGTGAGCACCCCCTGCTGGCCTCATTTTGCGTATAGGGAGGATTGGCTCTGCTCTGTGTCCTTGTAGCGATATTTGATAGTTAAGAGGCGGCAGCTTTCCCACGAGTGGGCGTGGTTTCAGCACAGACAGCGGACATGCCCCCAGTGTTTGATAGCAGAGGATACCGCCCATTTTTTCAAGTACATAAAATAAGTTATCAAAATCTCGAAAAAACGGGCGGTATCCTTTGCTCTCAAACACTGGGAACATGTCTGCTGTCTGTGCAGAAACCACGCATTTTTTAACATTCAAATTTGGCTGAGTGGTTAATAATAAATTTTTCAGTGGTGTGACAAACTCAGAACACATACATAATATTGACTTTACAGGGATTTTAAGTTTTGGGGTTTTTAAGTAGGTTTCCCTAACTGCGTATGAAGAGATGCCTCTTATTGCCTCATACATGTACCTCAAAATATCTCATTACATAAAAAAATCACTGTACATATTCTGCTTTTTATTCTCCAGAACTATCTCGTTAAAATATGCATGCATTCAGCTTTATGCTGCACTTTATGCTGCATTGAGACTCCAGCTCTCCTCCAATGAAATATACATGTTAACTACTGCCAATGGCAAGTATATAAGTGCTATAGTTTTACCTCCGGATCAAAGCATATCAGAATTATAGCTCAACCTTCAAGTAGGTTTGACATAAAAGCTACAGCAAGGTGAACTCGACCCTTTAGAAACTGTGTGGAGATGTGGTCAGTGCAACTGGATAAATAATAAATGTTGAAGAGGTTGGTTTGATAGAAGTGGAAGCTCTTACGTACATGTGGATCCAACAGACTCAATATCAGGTTTAAACAGGAGCTCTCACACATACCCACACTTTCCTTTTCCTTTTCCTTTTTCCTTTCCTCTCTCCAGGCCCATGATGGTCATCACACAGAAGATCACAAGTTTGGCATTTGAGATTCATGACGGTATGTAACAGTTTTATTAATCCAATTCACATCTTCTCTTTATGAAGTTTTCATGGTTGAAAAGCCTGAGTAATGAATGGTATAATAAAACTGGCATGATTTCTACCTGAAATCTTTCTAGAGCTCCATTGTTTCTGTCTATGCCTGTGTCAGAGGCTCTAGGAATTACATAAGGGCTGTTAAACCCTGCTGCTTCACCACATCCTCGTATGCCATTGATTTATACCACTGCTGGCGCTGCACCCAGTGAGTGGGCCAAAGGAGTTTGGGCTGTTGCGCTGCATAGACCACACTTAACGCATCCAACACACTATACCGCTTATTACGCAACTTGGTGAAATCTGTTTAATAAGATACTAATTGTGCTACATCTCCACATCGTTTTTGGATGATCTGGATCATTGATAAAGGAGAATGAAGGTGATTTCAAGATCCTCCCTTCAACTGAGTGTGTTCAAGTGACAGTTCACCTAAAATAAAAATTCTGTCATCATTTTGACACACCATATTGGAATATATACTACCATTAAAAAGTCAATAAGACTTAAATTAGCAAGGACACATTAATTTCATCAGAAGTGACAGTAAACATATTTATAATGTTTCTGTTTCAAATAAATGTTATTTTGAACTTTATATTCATCAAAGAATCCTGAAAAAAAAAAAAAAAGTTTCCAAAAAAATATTAAGATGCACGTTTTTCAACATTGATAATAATAAGAAATGTTTTTTGACCACCATATCGGCATATTAGAATGATCTCTGAAGAATCATGTGATACTGAAGACTGGAATAATTTTGTCGCTTGAAAATTCAGCTCTGCATCACAAGAATAAATTACATTTTAAAATATAATAAAATAAAAAACAGCTATTTTCAATTATAATAATATTTCACAATATTAGTTTTACTATATTTTAAATTAAAATTGATTAAAATTATTTTAAATAAAAAATTTTGTTAACTTTTTTTTGTTCCTCAATAAAACTACTATATCCTTCGACCTTTTCTACCTTGACAGCCCCTGGCCATGATTTGCTTTCATTGGTTGGAAAAGAGCAGCTCAGACATTCTTGCAAATATCTTCTTTTGTGTTCCACAGAAGTTAGTAAGTCAAAGTGGTTTGGAATGACATGAGGAATTAATATTGACAGATTTTTCATTTTTAATGAACTGTTCCTTTAAGCACAAAGGAATGAGAATCAGAGGAAGCGTGATGGCAGGAACCCAAAAGACGCTCTAGTTTTATCAACGACTGGCAAATCTCCCATGTAAACAAGACAACTGATAAGAAAAACTAGATTGCACACCATCCTAGCATAGTTTTTAGATACTTAGTCAACCAAAGAACTAATCGCTGTGATATGTGACTGAGTCACATTTAGAGTCAAACAGAAGTAGCATCACAGTCACCACATTTCCTGTAACAGGGTTTATGGGAAGATTAAGAAAGCACATCCCATTTCTCTGAAGCGATAGCTCACAGAACAGCTGGCCGAAACTGCAGCCCAGCACTTTTGAGCTGCCTCCGCATGACTTGCTGTTAGCTCTGCATGTCCTGCTCTAGGACAACACACATGACAATATTGATCCATGTGTTTTAATGAAGTTATGTAATAGTCTCCTTCCTCCACCACTTTATGGAGAACTAAACTGAGTGTGGCGCTCTGATACTTTGGCAAATGACGCAGACTAAAGGCCAAAGTATACTTTGGTTTTTACGTGTACGCGAGGGTCCACATACAGTGCACTGCGTGACGCAAATTTCATTACCAGAATAGTATGCGTGTACTGTATGCACACCACACAATTTTTGTAACCGTACATACGTTGTATGTGCAGGTCGCACATGCACATTGAATTTGTTTTGCACTAATCAGTTGCTCCACAGCTGATGTTTCACAGTAGAAAAATAAACTAAAATGATGGAACAACAACAACAACAAAATACCTGAGTCTGCAACAACAACAGACACCAGCTTTGGCAAGCGCTTGTGTGAGAGGCTTATGAGATCGCTGCAACTTTAGTTTGAAAGAGTACAAAGATTTTATCAGACATAACTTCTGGAGAAAAATAGCGCAGACACTGGACAAAGATGAAACTTTCTAGAGTGCACGTGTTTGACCGCCTGTGTGTAAAATGTATTGTATTTTTGGCCTTTTTGTCAAATGCTAGAGATAACACAGAGGGGACAGGAAATTGAGGCATGGAGTACTGCAGTGATGACACACTTTTGTAGGCCAACCCGGATATTAGCATCATCCTGTTTAAAAAAAAAAAAAAAAAAAAAAAAGACATGAATAGACATGAAAAGGCAAAAAACAGTGTGATTTCTGTTTTAATC